TCCTCCTCTTTCCCCTCTCCTCAAAACACCAGAGAGGAAACAGAAGAGTTTTCAATGCTGATGATTAGATTTCAATTTTTGTTTGTTTCTAGATTCCGTGAAGTTTTGGCAGAAAATGATGTTTTACCCTGGGAAATAGTCTACATATTCAAGCAAGTTTTAAAAGATTTTCTTATCACCTTTGAGAGAGAAAACCAACAAGACCAACTGGTAGATGCATGGCACACAAATTGCTCTGACCATTTCAACCCGCTTGGAGACAGTTCTAACAAATCAGACAAAGATGAAATCCCCACGGTTTCAAGTTATGTCGACAAAAACACACAAAGCATGTTTCCCACCTTCTCTCATAGAATTTGGAATCTACCCTATTACCACCCATCAAGTTAAGGTGGTTTGTTTCTATCAAAAAGCTATGTAGCTATTTGCACTCCTTTCTTGTGATTACCACCCGCAAGCATAGGAATAAGAAATGTGACATGCTCCCCTTTTTTCCAAGTTCAGATATTAAAGTCCTTGATTATAGCTAGTATGCAGTAAAGAAACTTTAAATACGAACTCTCCTTTTATCTTTACAGTTCCTTAAAGATGTCGTGTTTGAAGGTACCTTTCAACCAAAAATGTACGTTTCTGAAAAAAACTCCAAAGCATTTTATTTTTTAGCCATATACAGCTAAATGTATTTACAGAAAAAAAGACTGCATCGTGTTAGGCAAAAACTTCTGTATTTGTCACATAGCTTTTAGGCTCTGGGAGAACTTTATACCTTATAAGCTACAAGATTTATTATAATATTGGTTATACCAAATAAACTGATAAATACTTTTTGGAGAAGAGTTATTTCTTAACTTCAAGAATAAGTTCTAAAACAATGTCAGAAGTCGTAACACATTGCATGAACTGTTTCTGTATTTTTCAAAACGGTACTCTTCATGTACTGAAATACTATTAATACAGACAACTAAATAAAAATATTGGATATTTAATGGCATTTAACAACTAGCTCTCTATTTAAGAAGTTGATGAATTACTTTACTTCAAATAGTGGTAATTCTTCATTTGACTTATTGGAAGTTATCCTAAAACCCAGACTCTGCATTAAACGTAAACACTTTGATCAAATCAGACAGCACTTTTCTAGAATAGCAGGAGAACCAACAGATCATTTCCAAAGCAAGAGTTGATCTTTTTAAATTTAAATAAAAAATTCATGTTTTTCAGTTGCCATCATCTATCACTGTGGGTTCATAATAAAGTTTTACAAGACTGATTGGATACGTAGCAGTTACAGTCACAGCAGACAATTAGAGCAGAAAATCAATGAAAACATTTGTCAGAACTCAGTTTGCTACATTTCCAATTGGGCTCCCATCACTGTATGTAACAAATTTCTACTTGTCTTCTGTAACCTCTTAATTTCCAGATATCCTTTTAATCTGTCTGCCACATCATAAGAAGTGAGCAAGACGCACATGACCCAATTCACAAAATGCACAATTTTCCAAACACAGAAAAAACCTGCTTCCTCTGATACTTTATTTAAACATACGGAAGACAACATTCAGATTTCCTCAAGCTGGTAACGTACAACTGGAAGGTATTTCCTTATGCTCCACAGCTGTATCCTCCACCCAAGAAAGAATTTACTAATAATGCAACATAAATTCAGTGAAACAAATGGCACAATGTTTTCATAAAAGATAAAAATATTTAAAAATTTTGGGAAGCTTATAATCTAGAGAACAGAATACAGAAGAGTGGAACATAATATACACAGAAGGTGAAACAATCAGAACTCTTGCATACGCCTAACTGACAAAGCACTAGAGGACTAGAGTGAATCAGTTCTCATAGGTTTAGAATAAGAATTGCAGCTCAGTATCAAAAGTAACCATACTCTCCATAAACTAAATACAGAAAACTTCACAAGCATGTATAAACTCCTTGCCCTCCTTTTGTGCAGTTGTTGGTTTGTGGACAAATAACAAAAGAGTTGATTCCAATTTACTCTGCCCCACTGATGCAGAATAAAGAGTATCATGTTCTTTTCATGCAGTTCTAAACAATCCAGATATGGATCCCTGCATGAGGTCAGGATGGTTTGAAATAAAGGTTTTTTCCTCAGTGATAAAGGTCCCCAAAGAGTTAAACTTTAAGTACCCTTTCCATAGGAAAGGCGGTAACAGATACTGAGCATATAAAAGGCACTAGCAGAATTAATATTACACTGAGAATTAACATTCATGATGCTGGTTTCAGAAAATAATTTTTATTTGGTCGAATGTGCAACGTTCCTGCAATGGTAATTCACACAGATCAGTTTCTAAAAATGGTACCTTCTCAGATTCTATTTGAAAATAGGTAAAAAAATCCCTACAAATTTAGCTTCCTAATTTTAGTTTATGGAAAATGGTAGGTCAACAAACATGCAAGATCCACTTATCTTTATGATCATCAAAAGCAAGTAGGAAAAAAACCCCCAACCCCACAAGATGACCACAGATATAACTTACCCATTCTTTATAAATTTCACTTGAATTTCACTGTAATATAAGCAAATGCAGCCTTCTAAGTCCAGAAACAAGGACCACCAACTACTACATAGGCTAAAAGGCAGTCACTGAATAATAGTTAAAAAAAATTATCTAGGCATCATAGTCAATTCAATGTTAAAATCCAATGCAATGCTAAGCAAATGCACAAAAAGGCTTATCTACTTTTACGTGCATATTTTATTGATGAAACGGATACTCAGCTACTGCATCCAGTTCTAGTGTCCACACTTGGGGGGAAAACAGAGGGGAAAACCAAACTGGGAACTGGAGACGGTATAGGAAAAAAAATTACCCAAAGGCTGAGAAAATGCCATCTGCTAAGACCACACCTGGCCCATTTTTTTCAAAAACAGAAACGAGAGGTAAACTTTACAGAATATGAGCACTTTCATCTGACTGAAGTATTGTGTACTTTGTCTCTAGTTAAAAAGCAGAGAAAATTGTAAAATAAGTAGGAAGACAAACTAAAAAAGTTAAACATGTTTTAAAGAAATCTGCTAGGTTTACAACAATATGCTACAAAGAGAATCCGTACTTCAGTCCACCAGCTAAGATGAGCTGTTTTCTGGGATTTAGATTACACTTAAATTTCAGCTGTATCAGACAGCAGTAATATGGCTGTAGGCCAGTGTTCACTTCCCTGCTGACGATTACTGTCAGAGAACTCAACTGTTTCTTTAAGCACTTTTTATTTATGGCCTACATGACTTGCATGAGGTAATCCGAAAAGCATATTATTCCTCACGTTTCTGACACAAGCAGACAGCTGATACAAACCACGCCAGTGACAGCAAGGTGAGTGGCAATAGTTTCGAAGGGCAACAAGGTCTCCCACCTGCACAGGTGTCTGGCAGAACAAACAGCACACAATGTTTTTAGCTAAATAAGCTGGCTATAAAAAAATGGCTAACTTGGTGAAAGCTACACCTATGAAATGCAAGAAATCAAAGAGAGAATAACCACCTTTTCCATGCTTAAGCCTTTAAGTGTTTTAATGTGAGCCACAATTGTTTTGATAACAAGCAAGGATTTAAGGGTCTAAATTTCTTTTCCTTCAGTTAAACATAATCAAAGGAATTAATAAGTTAATCAACGAGTTATTTCAGGATCAAAATTCAAACCACAATTTCTGAGAACTACTATCTTACCCTAACAAGCTCATTTTCTAATGCTGCTCTTCTAGAAGTAGTTCAGAATCTTAAAAGCCTTGGAAAATGAGGCATCATCAGTAAAGGAAAAGAACTCATTCGGTATGTCTCAAGAGTTACTTGATGCTTTTAGATCCTATTAGACAGTATCAGTAACATTTTTGTAAAATATTAGTTATTACACACACTTGCATGCAATAACACACCTGTTATTACTGTTGCCAGTTTGGTGGTAATCCTACACATTCATATAAATATAGACAACAGAAGCAGGAAGACAGTCTCCATTAATAATTGTATATCCAGCTTGAAATAAATATGAATAAGCATTTGAAAAATTTGAAATAATTTTTGTTTTGTTTTTTCCCATGAAACAAGAGTTTCAAAGCAAATACCAAAATAGACTATTGTGCTCCAAGCCGCCTCAACAAAAGGAGAGAAAACTCTCAAAACAAAACTCTCAAAACATAAGAACATTCCCAGAATTGTGAAACAGAAACATATATGGAAACAAAACACAGCTAAGCAAACACACCTTCTTAGAGGTTTTATTTCATTTTGTAGCAGTACACACACACGCACCTATCATCTACACTCAAAGATTCTACATATGTCTAATGACAATCAAATTCTGTCCACACTTACATAAATGGCTATTTAGGACGCATATCCTCTCTCTCTCTCTAATGGGAAAGAAAAAAAGAAAAAAAAAAAAACTTATCTCTGTTAACGCAACTGTCAAACCCCACAATTATCCGCTAACGCTGTTGAGAGCAAAGAGGTATCTGTCTAAGAAAGATCTGCGACTGCCTAGGCACACAAGGCTTGAGAATCTTGCCAATGTCTGCTATGTTACTTGGTAGATTTCAGTAGCTTAGTGCTCACTCGGGTTCAAGAACCTCTTCTCAAACCCTTCCCCAGTACTACAGAAATGTTATTGGCACCTAAATAAAGACTGAGAAGTCCCAGACATCTTGTACATACTGGGTTTAGGAATTACATTCACAGTAAATAACCTTAAAAAACTAAAATTCTGTCCACTTCTGGAAAACTTTAACTACTTGCATAAAACCCAGCAGCTTTCAGTCAGAGATTCAGAGCTTGCTAATGGCAGCACTTTTACACTAAAGGATGAGAGAGGATAGATATTATGACATGTCAGTTTTGTCCTTTCCTTGAAGCAAAGACTGATAGCCTGAACAGTCTCTACTGAACTGTCAGAGTATCCACTGTTAAGATGTTAGGTTCATTTTTTCTCAGAAGCCAACGTACACCCTTTAAGAGAGGTCCTGAAACACAGTGACCCATGCTGCTATACGTCATACAGGAAAAGGAAGACACTCATTCTAGACTGTACCTCCAGTTGATTTTGAAAAAGTCTTTAGTATATGACAGTGCATACAAAATACTCTTCTACAGCCAACACGGATACACTAACCAAACTTGATCTAAATACTAAGATTAGTATGCACTGCCATAACACCTTCCAGTTCAGGCAGCGTACAGGGGAAAGTCTCTCTTCTCTCCCCAACATCCAGACAGTAGGGAAAACCAAACGTACCTGACTGCTATGCAAACACATATACAGTTCTCCTCAGCTGTGAACTCTGCCATCTGAGATTAAAGCACATCCAACGAGTGACATGCCAATATACCTTGAACTAGCTTTACCTTCGTAACTTAAATG